GGGCCTTATAACTTCTGCCTACTTTTGTGCTTACTAAACTGTCTCACTCAAACCATTTAATGTGTCTGCTCCCACACCCAGGCTTTTGCAGGAAAAGATAACTACCCACTAAACAGATAATGCTTATCTTCAACTGGGTTTCTATCAGCTTTTGCTCTGTTCTACATCTGCGCCAAACCTTGGGGTAAATAATTCTGGATTGAAGACCACCCATTGAGCCTTTCTCACAGATTGTCAGCAGGTGCCAGCTATTCTCTTCCCTTGCATTCTACTTTGTCTTCCCACACTAAATACATCTCTGCTAGCCTGCTACCTTGTATGACTCCTTTATGGATTATTTCAAAATCCATTGCGTCATTAGTCCAAGACCCTTGGAAAATTGATTAGAGTTCCCATCTTCTACCAGGGAAACCTCGTTTCTGAACACCCTCCAAATGTCAATTCCAGCCATTCAAGAGGTAGAAATAGGAGGATATGGTCTAAAGCCAGCCCAGGCAAAGTAGGGGAGACGCTATTTGAAAAACAAACTAAAAGCAAAGGACTGAGGACACGATCATTTGGTAAAGTGCTTGCCTAGATGAGGTCCTGAGGTCAATCTGTAGTACCACAGGAGAGGAAAAAAAAAAAAAAGAAAAGAAATGCTCTACCTCTAATTAGCTCTCCCCCAGAGAAAACATTTAAAAATATTTTCATCGGAAATTTTGGTATACATCTCCTTGTCTCTACAATAAACTCATGTTAGCTTCAACTTCTATTTTTTAGTTTGGGGCACTGTAGTTGACCTCTTACTGTTGAGGCTAGAAATTCAGCTTGTTCATTCCCCTCTTGCTCCAAGTTCACACAATCCCTACCTCCAATACACATGAAGACATTATCAGGACTACAGAAAACACTGTCATATATAGTTGAGCTGGGGGATAAATCATGGTCACTTCTCTCCTGCACAACCAGTTGCCTCCCAAAGAATTAATAATAACTGTGGAGCTCCAGCTTGAGATAACCGCCATCTTGGATGCAACCATCATTTTGTCCTCCAGGTGACCTTGGCACATACATCCCAAACCCTATAGGATGAACCAAGTGCATTGTACTGGCCACTGACATCTGGACTGTTTCTTAATGGACATTTAAACATGTTAATTGTTTTTTAGAAAGGCCAATTGTCTGTGGGCCACCTTTTTTTCTAGCTTAACATATGAACCTCTTCCTCCTATCTTGTGGTGCAGATACCCACTTGTCTTGCTGCCACCCAAGACACACTTCTGTTTGTAAGTCCCCAGCAAATTAACAATCCTGGATGTGTCTTCCTCTTTTGCTTCAAGGCCCCATCTACCCTTGGTCACTGATCCTCATATTGGAACTAGGTTTTTCTGAAACAGTTGCCTTTTATGAAAGTTCCCATTTGCTTAGTTTTCAGTACTAATTCTAGCCTAAACACTCTACCATTTATCTCAGTCTCCTACTGAGATTTGTTCAGGAACATCTGGGATTCTACAAAGGTCATGTTTTTTAAGAGACTGCACCTACAGTTTCAAGCCCTACTTTGACATAGTCTGGTGCTCTTCTTGAATGGATGCCTTGACATCCTCTCCCTCGTATATCCAGTTCTGTTTCCTTGGGGAATGTCCTTTCCAGTCTTGGCTTGTTCCCTCACTTTATTGAATTACATTCTCAAGTAGCTTATGGAAAAAGGCTCCAAGGTATGCCAAGGAAATGGGGGATATGAAAATACTCTTATTCTTTTGATTCTTTGCTAAGTTTAGAAACCCAAGTTGGAAATCTTTTTCCATCAGGTTTTTAAAGGATAGCTTTACAGTTCTGCTGCTGCACAACCTGAAAGTACTTTTGAGTGAGTCCTGGTATTTTGTACTTAACTTCTTTTCTTTCTGAAGCTTATGGGGTCTATCTCCAGTGTTCTGAAATTTTCACAATATACTCACTTGCTTCCGTATTGTAATGGGTATCATAGTTGCATGACACAATACACTCGCTGAAGATCTATTTTCACCCATTTTGCTGGACATTTCGGGGAGCCATTTCAGTCTAGAAACTCATATAATCCGTTCAGGTTAATTTTCTTCTTTAAAAATTTCCTTGCCTGTTTTCTATGCTCTCTTCCTGAAACTCCTTTATCAAACAGATGATCAACTTATTTTCTTGTTTTTTAATCTTTCTGCTCTATTTTCTCAACTTATCCTTCCTACAATTCTAGTGCATTTTTAATTTTTCACTTGTCTCCAAGTATTTACTCACACACACACACACATTTATGTATTCCTGTTATTTCATGGATGTACCATCTTCTCTTATTTTCTGAATATATGAAAGATTTGTAAATGTACTCTCCTTGCATGGGCAGCTTCCTCCAAGTTGGCTCTTTGGTTCTAATATACAAGTTTCATTTCAGTGATGCTTCTCAGATGTTTGTCAATCTTGGTTCACTGCTCCTAGTTAAGAGCCAAGTACTGAAGATCAGTTTGACCCTGAACGCCTGGCTGGGGTTTGATGCCTACAGGCTTAGGAATTTAATGTCACTGGCCCTGCTAGTTGGGCTTCCTACAGAATGAACTGTCTATCTCCCACTTCAAGGACATATATGTGCTTCCCAACTTCCAAGTTTTTGTGGCTGTTATTTCCTATTTTCTTTTCTCTTATGGGTTAAAAGAAATCCTTCTACCATCATTTTAGTATGGTTTCAGGAAACCAAAGCAAATACATTTAATCCATCATGTTCTCATTCACATTTCAGCCCACTGCAGTATAGCTTCTATGCTGAAGGGTCTCATTATACAGCCAGGCTAGCCTCACTCTCATCTTCCTGCCTCAATCTCCCAAGTGCTAGAATTACAAGTGTGAGCCACCATGCCTACTTTAGCCTCACTGACACTGATCAGCTAACACCACCACTGACTTTTATGGTGTCAGTTAGGGGCCATCTTTCTACCTATATTTCACTCAGTGTCTTTGTGGCACTGGATGCTGAAGGCTTTTTCTTTTCTTGGTGGCACTGGGGTTTGAACTCACAGCTTCACACTTGCTAGGCAAGTGCTCTTACCACTTGAACCACTCCATCAGGCCAAGGCCACTTTTTCTTAAATTCTTTTTTATTTGATGGTGCTGGGGTTTGAACTCAGGACTTTGCACTTGTTAGGCAGGCATTCTACCACTTGAGCCATGACCAGTTCTTTTTTTTTTTTAATAGGGTCTCACTTTCAATGCCCTGACTGACCTCGACCATGATCCATACTTTCTGCATAGCTAGGATGATAGGCATGTGTTACCACACCCTGCTTTTTGTTAGGGTCTCATTAACTTCTTGCTTGGGCTAGCCGCAAACTGCAGTCCTCCAAATCTCCACTTTCTGAGTAGCTAGGATTGTAGACATGAGCCACTATGTCTGGCTCTTAAACTCCTTTCCTGAATTCAGTGACTCCAAAATGATGGCCATTTCTCTGAATTCAGCTGTCACTCTTCCTCACAAACCCTTTTGCTTTCTGTACTTTGTCTGCTGAATGACAAAAAATGTCAAACACCAGATCCAGGCACATCAATATGATGAGTGTTTTCCTTGGTGATGTCTCTAAGAATGTATACTTGTAACAGCCACCCAGCATCCCCAAGCCCTCTGTTTCTCAGGCTTGCTTCTTGGACATCTGCTCATCTCATTCTTTATACTCTCCTATGATAAACTCATCAAAACCCTTCAATTTAACTATGAATTATATACTATAATTCTAAAATCTCCATTTCCAGGTCACAGTTCTTTGCTGGAATATGGATCTGTTGTTTATGCAACAGCTTCTTGGATGATTGATTCTCCTTGAATTTCTCATACCACTCCCCCCCCCCACTTCAACATTTTTAAAATCAAGCTCAGCATTGATTTTGTACAAATCTACTACATCTCCCATTTTCCCTTTCTCAATGCCTGGTGCCCTCATCTACCTCAACAACCAGCCAGAAAATGAGGAGACATATTGAGATTCTATCAGAGTTGGCACACCTATCTAAACACTAAGACCTATATACCATGTTAGTATCAAGAGCAGAAGGTCTCAAAATTTAGTGTGCATCATAATCACATATAGGGCTCCTAAATACCAACTGCTGGGACTCAACTCCAGAGCATCAGACCCTGCAGCTCTGGAGTGGGGACCGAGAGACTATTTCTAGCAACACTCAGGTGATGTTGATGCTTTCAAAACCACTGATCTATGTGTCAATTCCCAAACACCAGACCTACTGCAATTACCTTAGCCCAGTCCATCAGTCATCATGTCTTGATGATATTGCAACCATTAGCCTTTTGATTTTCTGACTTTCATTAGCCTTTTAATTCATTTGGCCTTCTTAAAACATCCTTCAAACTACAACTGGAATGATCTCCCCCAGAAGACCTGATAGTGGAAGATCTTGGACTCTGCTTAGCTTAGCTCAGACATTAATGTGGTGAATTCTTGGGTGGTGCTGCGTGTGTGCCCCTCCACCTGCCATCAGCATCCTAAAACTGCTGAATGACAAAAAATGTCAAACACCAGATCCAGGCACATCAATATGATGAGTGTTTTCCTTGGTGATGTCTCTAAGAATGTATACTTGTAACGGCCACCCAGCATCCCCAGACATACTGAACAGAGTACCAACTCTGCATCTCTCCTCTACCAACACCCCATCTCTTCCACAGTGGCTGCCCACTTCTACTTTCTCTTGCAAGTGTTTCTGATCTCCAGTTGTATGTGCTGGAAACATGAGAAGTCTAGCGACAGCTACTTTGTACTTGTTTTCTATGCATGTTGCCAGTTCCTTGTGGAAACTGTGAGCCTTCTAATGACAAAGACACATATTATATCTTGTATACATGTGACTCCTCATGACATGAAAATTTTATGCTTGTTGTGTAATGTGAATAGTGACAAGTTGCTGGAAGGAAAAAACAGGAAAAAGAAAGAGTTAGAGAAAGTTTAGAAACAACAGTGCTAAAGCTAGGTGTCACAGTGGCATGCCAGTGCTGCAATGCCTGTTTAATTGAAACCTGGTAATAAAAGTTTAAATACATAAAATGTTTTTTTTATCAAAAGAACTTTCTCCACTTCCCTGATCTGATGCATACAGAGGACAGGCAAGTGAAAACTGCTATCTGTAAGGAACAAAGAAATGGCAGGTCCAACTCTGGTTGGTGTCTTCTTCCTCAGAAAATGCTCTGTGATTGAACTCAGAGTCTCAGGTGAACAGGGACCCTGCCCACACTGGCTCTCTTCAGTACATAGAACCCACAGCAAGTGGGCTCTCTGCACCATGGCAAATGCTCATCTTGGCTTCAGAAGACAAGGAAGAGCAGGGCTTCGTGCCGGGGTAGCACTATGTTTTCCACAGTGCGTTCCATGGATCGCACTTGCTCTGGCGAGGCAGTCAAGAATGTCAACGGCCCGATCCGCTGTTCTGCACATGAGTGGCAGAAGTAGCCACCTTTGTTTTCCTTCCTGTTGCTCTGCAGTGATGGATAAAAATAAGAGGTAAGGGAACAATCAAAAGACAATGATTCCCCAGTACAACAATAATATGATAATTAAAGAAATAAAGACAATGATTTTCTACCAAAAAGTGCTGAATTACTGTCATAGCTGCCAAGGGACAATGCATAATGATTCTGGTGTTACTGACCTGTGCAAGCCCTCAGAGGTAATACCTAGCATAGCACTATTATCTAGGGTAGATTCAACTTTATCAATTCACTTAGAGCAATAACTGACATTTATCTAATCAACAGATGAACTCGGGTCTGGGAGTATGGCTCAGTGGTGGAGCATGTTCTTAGTATACACAAGTAATTAAACAAGTAAACAGAGGGAGAGAGAGGGAGAAATAAAGAATATGCGAGAGATAAGAACCAAGAAAAACTGAATTGGGCTCTCCAGATAAATGGTTCTCCTCTGCAGTTTCTGGTCACAGCCCCCGTGTCCTAGATGGGAGGGCTTCAGAACGTCCTGACAGTATCTTCCACCTTGATTCTTGGTTATTCTGTCTTTGACAAAAGGAAAGACCTTACATCTGTTGTGCTTTACAGATAAAAAGGATTATACAAATTTCTCTATCTTCCTCACTCCAAACCCAGATAAGCACTTAGTTCACAAGCAATGAAATGTAATGATTCAATTAAATCCTACAGACCACAAACGTACATAAATGATGGGCAGTTTCTTCATGGTGAGGACTGTGTCTACAGGGATGGCATTGTTGCACTGCCCCACACAGCAGCGAACCACTCCTGTTTTTAAAACGTTACTTGTCAACTCTGCTTGCAAGAAGTACTCCTGAAAATGAAAGAGACAGAAAGAGATTAATGGCAATACATACTTTTCCTATCTTGGAACCTCCATCAGTAAAAGGCTATATACAACCTTTAGACATATCCAGAATGAGGAAAACACTACCCAGTTTTCTCTTAGTTTATCTAATTTTTTTCTGCATCCAAAGCTTTGCCAAGACAGTCTGATTAGAATCTTGGTTAAATTTCCAGGGTTTTTTTTTATTTTCTTTTTTTTCTAAAAAAAAAGGATTTAAGTTAGGTGCTGGTGGCTCGCACCTGTAATTCTAGTTATTGGGGAGGCAGAGATCACGAGTATCACGGTTCAAAGCCAGCCCAGACAAATGGTTCATGAGACCGTATCTCAAAAAAACCCATCACAAAAAAGGGCTGCTGGAGTGGCTCAAGGTGTAGGCCCTGAGTTCAAATCCCAGTATCAGTACTGCAAAAAAAAAAAAAAAGGATTTAATGGACAAACACAAAACTACTGTTTACAATGATATTTCTGGATTTTATCTCATACTAATCCATCCCCAACTGCAACATTAGAAATTTATTTGTGTAGTCATTTCACAATCCAGATAAGCTAAAACAGATAATATTAATAAAAATTGCCCAAGGCAACCCCACACATTTCCATCTTCCCAGGCCATGGCTGCCTAGTAGGAAGGCGAGTCTTTAAGCCTCAGGTTTCTTTATTTGTGAAATGTGTAACATGGTACCTACTTCATATGGTTGCTGTGAAGAAAAAACTCATAGTACATGCAGAGTGTCTGTGCCTGGCACAGAAAGCACACAACACAATGCTAATGATTTCCTAAGCTGGAGATGCCGCAAGCTCAGGGACCTTCGCCTGTGCTGCTGCCCCAAGGAGTTCCGCGTGGTACGGCAACAGCAGCAGGGCTGCAGATGCTTGCTGTCCAAAAAATTGTGACCTCCTATTTTCCAAACTTCAACTGGCTACTTATTGAATTTCTTTTCAAAATCTATGTCCCACATTTTGATTTATTTGGTTTTCTCTCTTGTAGGACCTGCCTGTTACTGAAAAGAAGAGAAAATATATAACTCAAGTTTCAACCAATGAGTAATGACAACTGATAGCATGAAATCCTTTTAAAAATAAAGTGAAAGACTTTGCTGAAATCCCTTTATCTGTCATCTGCATTCCCCTCCCCAGAGGCAGCCAACATCATGGATTTGGTGTTTTTTCTGACCCATTCCAAGATAGTTTCACATTTTCATACATGTCCAAGGACACACTATCATTTTATAGGTGCCTGTTTATATAAATGCTACACTTTTGTTTTCCTCCTCACCTAGTGCATTTCTCTCAAGTGCTATATAGGACTCAATCACACAACTCTTTCATATTTTGTGTGATTCAGGTTGTTTCCAAACACTTCTAGCAATGCAGCAATAAACAGCTTTGTACAAGTTTCCTTGCCCAGTGCATGGTTTCTATAGGCCTGGATCCACTTACCATTATAATCCTATATACACATATGCACATATGCAAAAAACAGAAATTAAGTTTTACAAATTACTATTTAATATTACATACAATGCACCCCAATTTAAATTTTATGCTATTTCACTTTTTTAAAAGTTCATTACAACAGACTAAATTAACTTCATAAAACATTAATGAATGGCAACCTACACTTTGAAAGTATTGCTACAGAAAGCAGTGCACAACAGCAAGATTCTGTGTATGTGTATTATTAATATTTGCTGTTAGAAGTTTACACTAAAAAATTTTAAAATATTCATTCACTTAAAAGCAATAATAAACCCATTCTTAACCTATTTTATTTAAAACTGTATGTTTAAAAAAGTTAGCCAGAAGAGTAGCACTGTTTTACACTTTTATAAAAGTCTCTTTAATATCTACCACAATAGAAAATAACTGGACTCTCATCTCTGTTTCTGCATTCAGTCTGGGTTGAGGGACATCACATATCAGGTGGCCTCTTGGGACACCTCTGAGGACACACTGAGGAAAGCAATAGAGTGAAAAGCACAAATAACATCCTAGTACCTGCGAACAGTGTTATATATGTAACTGTACTATAAACACAGTATGCTTTACATGTGTATGTGCTATGAGCACAATATGTGTTCACATATAGTACACATAGTATAGGATATTCATGTATAGTATATTCTGTGATTACAGTATACATTTCACATAAACACATATGTACTGCGAACAGAATGTGTTACACACCTAATATGTGCTATGAACACAGTTTGACTTTGTGAAGCCCTGGAGTGCAAAAGTCTGATTACATCAAAATGTAATACTTAGATGTGATAAAGTAACAGCTAATGTTTACTTAACTTGTAAAAAACACCTTCTGAGTTGCTATTACTGTCATTATGGCAGTTTTGCAGATAAGGAAACTGAGGTAGAGTGGCTAAGTAATGTGACCAGTCATAGAAGGGGTTGAATGGAAGAACCGAGATGCCAACCAGGGCCTGAGCTCTTTACCATAACCACTCACAGAACAGGAGGTGCTTCTTTCATCCATTTGACAAGTGCTTTCGGCACACCAACAATGTGCTAGGCACTGCTCTAAGGATGTGCTTATGAGATCTGGATTAAGAATGTAAGGTCCTGGAGGCTGAGAGGCTGTCTTTTGAGCAACTACCCCAACTCGTATCACTTCATGCTTCAACAATGTAATCATTTCCTTCCAGTCAAGAAACAAATGAACAAAAATGCCTCTGGTGTTTAGATTAGCTGTATCTTCTAAGAGGTACCATGGTTTGAATGTGGTGTGACTCCCAAAAGTTCCTGTGCTGGAAGCTTGATCGCCAGTGTGGTAGTGTAAAGGTGGTGGAACTTTTACAAGGTGGGCCTACTGAAAGATAAGCAGGTAATCAGAGCATGACCTCAGAGAGGATTAATACTGATCATGAGGTCTGAGTTAGTTTTCACCAGAGTGGGTTGTTATAGTGCACGGTCAGTCTATATACTTGGCCCTTTCTGCTTGCAGCCAATTCTACCATGTTGTAACCCAGCCAAAATGCTCAGAATTGAGCCAAATAAACCTCTTTATTTTATAAAGAACTCAGCCTCGGATATTTTGTTATAACAACACAAAATGGACTAATACAAGAATAAGAAAAAAAAGAGGCTGTTTGACTTCCTCTTGCCTTTCTAGAGGCAATCAAACTGGCTTACCAGTCCAGGTGGCAGGAAACAGTGTTTGTTTTGCCTCTGCACCACCTCCATTTGTAGTTCTACCAGTCTCAACATAGTTTCAGAGCCTCTATATGATTACTCTCACCCACATCCCAGAGGATTCAATGTCCCTTACACCTCGCCATTCAGACCAGAGGCTGGACTGAGTCACTCCTCAGTCAGGATGTCCCCTAAAATATCCACAGACTAAGATAAAGAAAAAGCAGTACTCCATCTCATGCAATGTCTTTCAGACTTAAAACATCTGTTCACACAAACAGGCAGTTTTCCCAGGCTTCCTCAGAGCACCCCTGTGTGAAGACAGATGTTTCCCAATCCAGTTTCAGAAAGGGGAAGTATTTCTCTAGATTCTTTATTCAGTCAGTATGCAGCAGACAACTGACAAGCTTCCAATTTTCTTTATAAAGCTTACTTAATGATGAAATAACTCACTGAACTCTTTCTTAACATGATACGATCTCCATGAGGAATTCTGAAATAGCTAGAAGGAGCACATAAACATTTGTCTTTACTCAGCAGCTCCACTTGCAGAAATGTATTCCCAAGATGCACTGGAGAATATGACTCATCTGATTATGGCCTGTGGCATTATGAAAGCAAATGACTGCAGGCAGCCCAGGGTCCACCCAGGAAGAACTGTATAAATCATGGGACATTGACACAGAACACTGGAAGCTTTATGAACTGATAGTGATTTCCATGCACATTACTAAGGGACAAAGTGAGACACACAACAGCATTCACAGAATGCCATCTTTTGTGGAAAAGGAGAATAAAAATACATACAGACTAGCTGATATTTACAGATGCATTGAAGGACAAATAACTGCTTTTTAAAAAATAGCTAATAATGGTGGCAGGAGAGAATAATCTGAAGGGGACTTGGGATAAAACAAGACTTCTCTTGTTACAAAGTTTTGATTTTTGAAAACAAATAGAATTGACACATTTGAAAAATGTATTTAATTGGTAATAAAAACCACAGAGGAAAAAAAAAGATTTATCTCAAATGACTTTAGAACATGGTATTTTGACTACATATAATTAGTGGAATGTATGCCCAGGAGAAATAGAGTCATTAGAGAACCTTGAATTCTATTCAATATTTTATTGACAATATTAGTATTATTTTGAAATAAATAGAATGGTATAAATAAATAAATAAGTAAATAGAATGGTAGTAAATAACTATAATGACTATTGTTAGAAACCAAGATTTTAGTGTAAGAGAAAAGAGTCAAGCGTAAAAGAGTAAAAATCCACTCCAGATATAGTGGTATATGCCTGTAATCCCAGAACCTGGGAGACTGAAGCAGGAGGATCATGGGTTCGAGGGCAGCCTAGGCTACACGGCTGGGAGTGTGGCTAAGGTGGTAGAATGCTTGCCTAGCAAGTGCAAGTCCGAGTTCAAACCCCAGTACTGCCAAAGGAAAAACAAAAACAAAAAACCAAAAATGTTTTCATGTAAATCTAAAGTGGATTGTAGAGCCACGATTTGTTACATGTAAAGGGCTAAAGGCTCTGACAATGCAGATATGGAACAGCTTTTTAAAAACTGGGACAATGAAGAGAGCATGTGAGAAAAATGACATTTCCAGCATTTGCATTGGTGATGGTGCACAGTTTGTAAAAAACAAAAAAAAACTATGATGCTAAGTGAGCCAGTGATTAGTGCAGCAGCTGTCACTCTCTCACTCAGTGGAGAGGGCCACTGGCCAGCATCTGAAACGGGTGGCAGACCCCATCTCTGACCCCATCTGCTGAGGCTCAGTGCATCACTTTAAATTGCTTTATATATTTGTGCTATATAATGACAAAAAGTTTAAATTAAAAATTGGGATTGGGATTCTCAGTGTGAGCCCTTGATTCTTCTTCCTTTCAAAAACAGATTTCCTAGCTATCTACTAAAAAGATGAATAACCTTAACATCTGTGAAAGGGCAAGTGATAAGCTGGTATCACATGCCTCTTGATATGAAGAGACACAAGGCACAACCTGCTGCCCCTCTTGGAGCATTCCTGCCAAAGAATTATGCCCTAGTCTGATCAAACTGCTACAGTACTTCCAGTTACAGGAAACCCAGGGTGGGTGACTGTATACCAAGTTTCACAGCCACATAGGAAGCAAATCTAGAATGTGGAACATTCCACAGGGCAACTGACTCAGTTCTGCAATAAAACAGGAGTGAGGAAAAGGGGGGAAGATATTTGGCTGTTCTAAATTGGGAAATTTAAGAGACAGACAGAGAAATCTTTATTTGGTTCCTGATTTGAACAAACCACTGAAAAAAGGTATTTCTGTCATAATCACAAAAGTAGGATCATGCAGTGGGAACTAAAGTCCACAGATTATTATAAACTTGATAAAACATGAACATGGCATTGTGGTTATGGAAAAAAGTTCTAGAGATACAGGAGTGACTTTAATGTGTCACTGTCTCAAAATTTTCATAAATTAAGAACATCCTACATAACCCACATTATGAATGACAGTGAAGTTCTGTAATACTCGCATTAGAAAGTTCCCAATATCTCAATATGATTTTGTTAAAGGTCTAACCAGCAGCAAATAGTAATTCCACATGAAAGCCATACTACAAGTTCTAAAAGAAATACTTACAATCAAAGTCGATATAAAAATTCATGTAATAGGTAAGAACTATTTGTACATAAGTCCTATTACTCTGCCTAACTCCTTGGAGTACTGGTTTGGAGATTACAAAAGTCATACTTAAATCTAAAACTGGTGTCAGCAAAGTAAAAGTGGGTCAAATATAGACTAGTGCCTGTTTTTATTTTTATTTATTTGTTTTTTAAAATATGGAACACTTCATGAATTTGCATGTCATCCTTGTGCAGGGGCCATGCTAATCTACTCTGTATCATTCCAATATTAGTATATGGGCTGCTGAAGCAAGCACCAAGTACTTGTTTTTATGAATAAAGTTTTATTGGAACACAGATACAAATGTGCTCTTGCAGCACAGTACCAGAGCTGAGTAGCTGCAACAGAGATCATATGAATGGCAAAGCCTAAAACATTACGACCTGGCCCTTTATAGGGAAAGTGTGCAGATGACCCAGGTGCCACGGAGATACAACCTAAGGAAATGGGCTTCAGTCCTAAGTTCTGATGCGGGGACTGTCCTACTCATTGAGGCCCAGGTAAAAATGTACTTTGGGAAAAATGCATCTGATTTCAAACTTAGAAGCACTCTTACAGTCAAATAAGCTTATTTCAGAGAGGTTTAGAAGAAAAATGACAAAAATATCAAAGGTAAAAAGTGATAAAAAAAATGCAAGTTAATCAGTCCTATGCAAGAACTTTCACATAAAACTTCTGACATTACTGTTTTTGGATGGGCTCTCACTAGGCTCTCCAGGTTGGTCTCAAATTCCTGGGCTCAAGCCATCCTCCTGCCTCACCCTCCTGAGCAGCTGAGACTGCAAGTGCACATCACCCATGTGTGGCTTAAACTTCTGTTGGCACAAGTCATAGAGCATTCACTGACAAAGGTTTTTCTTCATAAGATTTGATACTATCTACCTCAAACATGTGAGGAGAATTTCTATTTTTTTATGCATTTGTTGTTCACCTTTTAATCTAGATGCAGGCTATGAGAGCAGGAATTCAACTTTGAGTATCAAGCTGTTTTACCACCACTTAACAGCTCTAAGACTTTAAATATCACTAAGAAACAGTTACTGTCTCACCTAACCCACCACACCTCCCACAACCCAGGTTTAAAGCCATTAGTAGCAATGTCTGAATTCTACAGCTCCCACTATGTCTCGCTGCCTTTAAGAACCAGTACATTGTGGCTCTTTGAGTAAATCATCCTGCTACACAAAACTGTATTTTCTAGAGGCTGCTAAAGAAGAAAGAGCATTCTATAAACTTTCATGCTTAAAGCTCAAATTTCAGGCTTAAGCATGTGGATCAGGGAAAGATGGAGTAGGTGTAACTGTTAACTCAATTTCTTGGTCTAGTTTCTAACGAAGTTGAAAAGACTAAATTGTTTGTATTCCTGTCAATGACAGGCAAGAAAGAGGTAAAAACAAGAAAAGAGAATGGAGAGAAAATTGTATGTGGGAGTCAAGAGTGAGAACAACAAGAGTAAGTGTGAACAAGCTCACTTTTCTGCTCCTCAGCCCGTGACCTAGGCCAGATACATGGAGAGGTATTCTCCCCAGGAAGGGCTAATTTTGGAAAAGTCTGTTGATGGCAACAGAAGTCACCATTTCAAGAGGAACAGAGAGTACAAGGGAGAAAATTTAGATGTAGAAAACATGATTGCCAACCTTCCCTTTAAGAGTGCGGAGAACTAACTGAGCAAAGAGCAATTAAGAAATACATGAAAACAGCTGATATTTTCAATGGACCTTTTAAAATTGAATTAGTGAAGAAACAACACTTATTTTACCAGTCAGAACTTTTATACTAGCAGTTGGTCTCTGTATATTCAAGAAGCCCTTCCCTTCCCACCAGTGCCCTAATCCAAAGGCCTGTGAAGGCCTCTGGGATGATCCCTCAAAAAATGTTCAAACCCTGGTAGATTAACTCATGCTACCCATTCCTCTTACCCCAGCCAGAGTCAAAATGTTTTCCAGTGATTTCGTCATTATGAGACGTTTCTTGGCACGAGTTACTGCAACATACAATAAATTCCATTCATCCTCAGAAAATGACTCTAAAGAAAGAGAAATAACAATCAACTTAAAAGCCTGTTTACAAAAATATGTTCTCACTGAAATGTTTACAACCCTTCACTAACCTCCAAAACAAAAGTCTCAAAATTTCCTGGCTGTATTTTTCCTACAAATGCCAACTACAAAAACAAAACAAAAACCTCTAAGGCTAGTAGCACAAAATGCTGAGTTTTCTTGTTTCTTTTACCTGGGAATGTGTTAACTGATTATTCAATATCTGCAATGTACTGGTGGATAGAGATGCTTATTATCCAAGTTCTCCTCACTATGCCCATGAGGTAGATGGAGAAACTGCAGTTTAAAAAGGGAAAGTCACTCATACAAGTAAGTGTATGAGTGAGGACCACCACTAGAGCCACCGATAGAGGACCAGAGATAGACCCAAGCCTACTGGTCCCCAATACCTGTTTTTTTTCATTTCCATACACAACTGTTCATCTAGATTGACTCAGTCTAATCTGGAAATGTCTTACATTGTCACAAGGAAGAAAATCCACATACTTCTCTTCTCGCAGTCTCAATACCTAGCACAATAGAGCAGTTGATCTGTGAACAGACTAGAAGCCATTGAACTGTACACTTTAAGTGGGTGGACTGTATGCTATATAAATTGTATCTCAGTAAAGTGGATGTCAAAATAAAACCATGTAAAGGGATGTAAACCAGTAGGGGAAAAAACATTAAAAATCCCTGCCTAACAAAAAGCAACCAGTATCACTGTATGGTCACCTACTCTCCTCACTCTACTCTACCTTACACTCAACACTATGTTTCTCCTTTTATGGCTATATTCACAAGTGATAAGGAATGTTCTGTATTTATACTCACATCACTCCAATGTATGCTATGCCTCAAATTTTGAATGCACATTTAATAGTTTTTCTTTGAAAACTTCAAATGGCTTTATTCTAAGATTTAAACCCAAAACAACAGCACTGATGTTTAGAGTTTAACAACTAGCCTTAAATATACGTTTATTAAAAAGCAGACAAATTATAAAAAGTATTTCACATTTTATGGTCTGATTTTTTTTTAATAAAAAGGAGCAATTAAATTAAAAAAAAAAACCTTGGTAAGCAAGTAAACCAGATGTTTTATAGCTGAGCACCCAACATCCAGTGATGAAAAATCCAAAGCTAAAGGGCAGATGTGTGTTACACAGGCCAGTATGAGCACAACTGCCCTACAAATAGCCCTGAGAGATGGGCGCCCTGTGCAAGGCTGACTTTTCCAAGCACTGCAAGATTAAGAATTAAAATTTAAGAACACATGGTATTTGCCCCTTCTAGAACTATACCAGGAGGCCACACCACCCAACTAGAATCAAGGCAGTCAAAAGGAAGCATTCAACTGACTCCTAACTACTAACATTCGAGCATCTGAAGAACCATCAGTCTCCTTACCAACTCTGAAGTGAGGAAGCTGGGCAAGATTATGCCTGGCACAAGGCACTTTCACAAAATCATCCAAAACATGCACAGTGTCAAACTCCAAGCCTTTGGCTTTGTGCACAGTGCCCAAAATGTACTCTAGGACAGAAACACAGCATTCAGTTAAGATGGGGCTGTCACAGAAGAAATGAGAGCAGAGAAACAAGTTTCCTTGCTGATGCACAACTTTGTGGGCAAATGGGAATGTGGAAACTACAGTTGGGGGGAAAAGAAAAAGAAAAAAAAAGTTGAGAGGAAAAGTAGAATATTAGTCACAAGTACCTCCAAGAATCACATTCTAGACATCAAAGTGACCAGACCCACTACAACACTCTACACAGGGAAGTACAGAGGCCCAGAAGAGGGCTGCATGGCTTCCCCAAAGTTACAGCTGGGATTAGAAAATCTTGTTCTACTAGCTTGAAAGTTGAAAAGCAATAGAGGCCCTAAGGAAAAACAATTGTTCTGTTCAACTTTCTCTTTATTTATGCATGTTATGCAGTACTAAGATCAACCCCGGGGGCCTTGTCCTCTTTCTCTTAATACTAAGTAACTCCCCACCCCAGTTAAAAAAGCAGCTGATATGGTCATCCATGGTCACAGACACTTTATGCAGGTAAACAACATTAGATGATCATTGTTCCTCCTCTTGGAGTTAGTAAGAACCAACTGCTTTCCTTACCTGCGAAGTCCAAATCTTCTATGTGACATCTTTCTATCCTTTCCACCAGTTCTGGAATCCTGATGTTGTACTTTTCAACTACTGCAATCTTTGCTTCAAGCTCCTTGTCCTCAGCAGCGATCACATACCTCTTGAAGCCACTGAAGCCTTCTTTGTGCACCCATCTTCTGATGAATCTGTCTTTAATGACGAGGTTTCCTAAGGAGAGGAGTCACACGGCTCAACGTGAGGTAGGTGACCCTAACACCATGGCGGCAGCTGCACACTCCTAACCAATATCACAACAGTGTATGGTTTTAGAGCTGGGTGACCCAGGTTCCAGTCTTGACAGCATCACTAACACACTGTGTGTCCCTGGGCAAGTCAGTGTGGTGGCCTCTCCGTCTCCAACCAAGGATCAAGAGCCCTACAACTCGACAGCCTCACCTACTTCACAGGGACTTTAAATAGCATAATCCAGAGAGAAAGAAACATGCCCTGGAAATACTAGTAGTTATCATCTGGGGTCCAAATGGAAGTGTTCATGTGTAAAGCTGCCAGGCAGACAGAAAGACGTAGGGGAAGACAGCCTAAAGGACCAACACTGGAAAGTAATAAGACTCCTGAGAGAAGGATCTGGAAAAAACTACTAGTATCTTTGCAAAGAGAAGGCCTCAGGCATCCCACTCTCCAAGAGAAAAGAGCCCTACTACCTCCCTCTCTAGAAGATCAGTAGAACAGCGATTCAGAACCTGCCCGCACCTTCCCAGGCCTGTCACTGAGTGCCACCTTCCACTACTCCAAGACCAGGTGAGTACTCACGTTTCCTCCGTTCTTCCTCTGGCTGAAGAAGGGTCCAAATATCAATGATTCTGTCCAATCCAAATGACTTAATACCCTGAAAAAGTTTTTTCATGGGATTTTTTGTTTTCATTTTGCTTTTTAACAAAACAAAACAAATGTAGGGATAGGATCTTGAAATGAGATGGTTTCTTAAAAACAGATCTCGAGCTGCATTCAAAGCATACACGGTAAGTGGCAAAGCACTGAGCTATAACCTGGCCTGGAAACTTGGACTTAGCAAATACATAAACTCTACCTGTTTCTTAAAGAATGCAAGACCTGGCTGCACATTGCTTTCTCATCAGCAAAAGCGCAATTTTAAATACCTTTTGGGAATATGAAATGGTTGCAAAGAAGAATACAAATGGTAACTGAATGCAAACTGTCCAGCAGAAATACTTACCACTGCTTGTTCTGAAAAAAGAAAGAATGAGAGAATGACTAACAGGATTTTAAAGGTCAGCCCTTGGAGGAAAGGACTTGACTGTGACACAAGTTAACCCTGTTCTACTTAAGAAGCACCTACTGAGTCCTGGTTATGCTCCAGTGCTCATGTGGCACCAGGCCTACCCAGAAGACAGACATGACAATGGCTCCAACCTCTAAGGGACACATAAAATTAATGACATAAAACAGAAACCAAAATAGGACACTATATATTGCAATTCACAACGATAAAGTGTGCAATATCACAATGATGTGCACTAAAGTATAATTGCACATGCTATAGGCAGAAGTAGGTATAAGAAAGAACAACTTACTTTATATCATGCCCAGCATGGATAAATAGTATTTTAAAAATACTATTCTATTACAATAATGAAAATGGTTAAGTCATGCTGTGATGAAATACTATAGTCATTACAAAGCAATGAAAGAAAAATATGCTATGTATTGAGAGAAAAAAACAGCATTTTATGTACATGATAACTGCAATTATGCAAAAATGTACATATTTAAGGACAAAAATAATTAGTAAAAACAAGAACCATTATAGGAAATACTGGTATTATATGTGATTTTTCCTTGTAGTTCCAAAATTTCTATAATATTATCATGTAATCTTTATTTTTCACTAACATTATTGTATAATCTTTATTTTAAAAAAGAAAAAATATTAAAAGACTTTTTTTTTCCTTTGGTGGTACTGAGGTTTGAATTCAGGGTCTTCTGCTTGCTAAGCAGGCATTCTATCACTTGAGCCACTCCCCCAGTCCTTTTCTGCTTTATTTTTCAGATAGGGTCTTGTGATTTTTGCCCGGGGTCAACTTTAGATGGAGATCCTCCTACCTATACCACATAGCTGGAATGACAGCTGCACACCACCATACCACACTTGGCATGTTTGCTGAGATGGGGGTTCTCACTAACTTTGTGCCCAGCTGGCCTTGAACTGCAATCCTATCTCTGCCTCCTAAGTAGCTAGGATTACAGGTGTGCGCCAATACACTTGGCCTAAAATATCTTTTGTCTATGACTCATCAACTATATTTACTCAGCGTCTAGCACATAGTAAGCCCTTGAAAATGTGTTACCCGTATGAATGAATGCCTTTTAATCATGTAACTTCAGAGCTAAAAATGCCATAAACATGTCATTTAATCCTAACTTCCCTGTGAAACAGGTAAAGGAGAAGCATTGTTTTTTATCTTAAAGATGGAGAGAATAAGGCACACAGAAGTTGTGACTTGCCCCAAGCCACACAAGTTAGTGACAAAGCCAGAGCTAGAAGTCAGGTGTTTAACTCTGAGTGTTTTGGAATAACTGGGGCTGCCCAGTGTGCTGTAAGCTCAGGTGTTTGTACACTAATGGACAACACACAATCAGAAAAACCTCAGGGAGCCAGCAGCCTCATCTTCACAGTCAAAGGTAAGCAGAGCATTCATTTTTTAAGAATGGAAGTGGGTCTGACTTTATGGGAACATTTTAATACCATAACCATAGTGCTCAGGAGGAAAGACTCCAGTCATGGCTCAGCCTGGTGAAAAGAGTCAAAACCCCAAAGCCTACCTCCAGCACAATGGTTCTAACGATGCTGAACATTTTCATCAGGTATGTTTGTCTGCAACGTTTCTGTGTGAGAAGCAGTCAACAGAAATTTACTCTTACCCCAATCAAATGTATCCTGGAAGGTACTTCTCCTTCAGTAACCCGTACGGCCTCATCAAACACATTGGCATTGGTCCGGGACAACAGAGCCACTTGTCCCTTCACATCACCTCTTATGCCACCTTTGGGGGAGAGCACAAATTCCATGGCAAATAAACAGGACAATTAACTTTTATAACAAATAAAAGAAGAGCAACTGAATGCCTTACTCTGATGGTTTCCTCCAACTAAGGTCTTTTTCCTTACTCTCTTGCAGACATCCAAGATAGTAGCTCCCACATAAGCTATTTCCACGCCAAATCTAAAACTCTGTTGGAAGACAACAAAACACAATGAATTGGCAACCTGCCTTGAGGTACATGAGCTCATTCAATCACTGCCAAGGCTGGACTTACCCTACGTGGGAAGGGGATTTGGAAATTCCCTATGGTAAAACCACTTAGATCTGAACAGAAGCCTGGTGATAAAATAATTATTGATTTCATTTCTAAAGAACAGCATTTTGCATATTGAAATCCTGGAGTGTCTTTCTTACACCATCTGATCTATATGATCTTTTACCACTGTCACCAACTTCGCTAGACAATCAAACCTCACGTCTCACTTATTTGGCCTCTTTATTGCTGACCTTCTCCTACTGTCAAACTCTCTCTTTGCCAAATTACCTTTACCAAACACTTTAATTAAGCCATTCCCCTTGCTACAAAAAGAGAAGAGTGAGACATATGTTAAAAAGAGGTGCAAGCCAGGCACCAGTGGCTCACACCTGTAATCTTAGCTAGCTGGGAGGCTGAGACTGGAAGAATTGCAGTTTGAGGACAGCCCAGGCAAATAGTTTATGAGACATTTCCCCCATCTCCAAAATAACCAGATAAAAAGGACTGGAGGTATGGCTCAAGTGGTAGAGTGCCTGCTTAGTAAGCACAAAGCCCTAAGTTCAAACCCCAGTACCTAAACTATAAAATAAAAATAAATAAATAAATAAAAAGAAAGAAAAAAAAATTGTTAAAAAAAAAAAAGGAAGTATGTCCTCTCTCAGGTCCCCCAGCATCATCTGGACAGTCTTTACTCCCATTATACCCTAACACCATCAGTAAACTTTTCTTTTAAACAAATCTACCCTTGTTTTCCAAATCGAATGACGTTTGAATTATGCAAATGTTAAGAGAGGGTAGGGGTTTCTCCCCTTGTCTTTGAGACCCCTTTCAAGATCACAGCACAAACAAGCCATAAGTAGAACCATCATTACACAAGCATTCCTTAATTCACCTGCCTTGGTTCATACAATTCCTTTTCTTTTCTTTCCCTTCCTCCCTCCTTTCTTTTTTTTAAAAATTTCTGTGCTACTGGAATTGAACCCAGGGCCTCACATATTCTATGCAAGTGCTTTACCACTCATTCAAGCAATAACCCAGCCTTTTTCATTTATTTATTTGGCAGTACTGAGGTTTGCTAGGCAGGTGCGATACCACTTGAGCCATGATCCCAGATATTTTGCCTATTTTCAGATAGGGTCTCATATTTTTTGCCCCAAACTGGCCCCAGACTGTGATTCCCCCTACCTTCACTTCCTGCACAGCTGGGATCACAGGTGTGTGCCACTGTACCCAGCTTGTTTTTTCTAAGTTTTTGCCTGGGCTGGCCTTAAACCATGATCCTCCCTCTCCACCTCCCAAGTAGCTGGAATTATAGTTGTGCAACAGCTTGCTTGGCTCTTTATCTATTTATTTTTGCAATACTGGGGTTTGAGCTCAGGGCCTTGTGCTTGCTTGGCAGGTACTCACACCTCCAGCCCCTGCTTTGTTCTGGTTTTGAGACGGTCTCACTAAATTTTTGCTCAGGCTGACCTCAAACTCTAACCTCCTACCTCCTAAGTAGCTGCAATTACAGGCATGTACCATCATGCCTGCTAGCTCATATTGTTTCTATTAGTTTTTTTCAGCTATCCAAATTATTTCCTAACCTTCAAAACTCAGTGAAAGACTATTTCCTTGACCATTCCAGTTGGAAAGATACCATTTTCCCACAAACCCTGGCATATATTGCCTTTATGTATGTATTCATAATGTAAGATAATAAAGTATGACATGCCTTAGTGAAGACCAATACTAGTCAAAGGATACTAGACTTGCAACAAATGGCACTTTGTTGCTATAAAACTATTCACAGTGAACCCTAACCCAAATTATAAATATTCATGAGCCCATACTCCAACAGGTAAATGTGAACAAATAAGTATCTTTTATGCTACTATGTAATGGAAGAGACAAATCTCCTTTGCAAGACAACTTCAAATATAATTTATAAAGACACTCTAACACTTACTCCTCCGGAGTGGGCAGTTTAGGGACTTTCTCCCATAGCATGCAGTATGTAGGGAGGGTACCTTTATAGTGGATAAACCTGAAAAACACTGCTCCAGCCAGATACTCAAGGCCAACATGAACAGCCCTAAGCAAGACTGATAATATGTGCCTCAATACCATGCAACAAAAATGGCACTTTACCTCTATGGGCTTCCTCTTCAATCCTTAACCCTCATATAAACATGAGAAAAAAAAACTGACAAATTTCTGTGCAGGGAATACTAAAAATACCTGACTAGTACTTCTGAGAAGTATTAGGTCAGTACTAGACCAGTACTTCTCAAAACCATCTAAATCATCAAAAACAAGGAAAGTCTAAGAAATTGTCACAACCAAGAGAAGCCCAAGGAAACGTGACTACTATTAATGTGTTGTTTGAGATGAGACTCCAGAGCGGCAAAACATTATTCAAAAACTGAAGAAACTGGAATAAACCACAGACATTAGTTTATGACAATGTATTAGCATTGGTTCCTTATTTGCGGGAAGTTTCTTCATTAATATAAAATGTTAATTCTAGGGGACCGAGTGCAGCTATATGAGAACTGTCTATCATCTCAACTTTTCTGTAAATCTGGAACTATTCTAAAAAATAGGCCAATTAAAAGAACAAAATCACTCTGAGCTGATGGCACCCTAAATTACCACAGTAGGCGGGACTCAAGGGCGTGGCATCACAGAGCCTATGGGCCCTCTCAATAACAACAGAACACACACTTTCACACAAGTGACATACCTATATCCTCCAGGAAGACGGCGCTGATCCCTTCTACTTTTACAAATTAGAAAGACCTCCAAAGAGCTTTTATTATGGGAGTTGTATCTATCTATCTATATCAAAGTATCTATATTAGATACTTTGATTAATTTAAAAATTATAAAGCCCTTATCGGAAAGCATAAAGAACACTTTTTGGAGCACAACTATATTTCTTCCTACTCTAAATTAGCAACAATAGTGACACTGTTTGACATGTTCTGGAAGTCTCGTTAGTATCTGGATTCTCATACCTACAACTGCACTCTGCTGTGGTACATTATCTTGACTGACGTTTATGAAGATTCAGCCTCACACAAATCTCTAGCTAGAAAGGGAGAAAAGCTTAACCACCTGTTTGCATAATCAAGGACACCATGAGTTGTCATACTCACCACCTTCCCAAATTTTAAGTTTACTTGAAAACAATCTTATCTTCAGCAACACTGTTAGTTGCTTTCCTTGAAGTCACTGTTCATTTCACTCATCTTTGAGAAAATGATAAAAACCCAACACTGAATAACCAGCTATTCTTTCAAGTAAAATGATACTACAAGAACAAACCAGCCAGTTCAGCTCACAACCTATCTGCAATGGTGTTCTTTCTCTGGCTTCGGTCTGCAGCCAAAGTGCTCTGTGTGAACTTCCCATTTTAACAAAAGGAATATTAAAGAGATACACAGAAGGATCAATAGGCAATAAAATAGTCTTTTCTTCAGCATCAAGGATGGTGTTTTTCTGAATATGTTGAAAGAATGTAACTGCTACCCCAGTTTGGTACCAAGGACTTGATTCATGATAAGGTACCAGCTGTTTTACCCATCATCAATGCAAATACTAACATATCAACAGAACTACTCTGAAAACAGTTTTGACTTTGCAGACCTTCTGAGAACCACTGCTTAGAAGCAAGGGTATGCCATATACTGTAAACCTAGTGTAGTGCCATGAACAGTACCTGGCACATAAAAAACTAGGAGGGAAAATATAATGCTTGTCTACATGCTTCCACTTCCTGGGATTGAGAAGCACAGAGAGCTCTTACCTGTGTGAGATAGAAGACGTGAGTGTGGGGGACTGTGAACAGAGCATTGACTGCACCACGGAAGGTGTAGATCTGTTGATGTGGGTCCCCTACAAAGATCTTCCCACATGGCTGAGACAGAACTATATTCATGATAGCTGCAACCAATAAGAGCAAAAGTGAGAAATTTGAAGGACTCCCCCTCACACAGCAAAAAGAAACTATACTTAAGCAAAAATGCTTTCACAAAACTAAGCAAGAGCACAATGGAAAGTTGTCTTTTCCTGCAGAACAGGCACTTAATCAAAAGAAACAATTTTATAGTGGACAAAGAAAACAAGTTGTGGTTCTAGGAATGCAGATTATTTTTAGTCGTGGATTGACTGAGTATAAAACACAGGGAAATATAAAATGAGGCAAATTGTCTTCTCTTCTATAAAACCCCAAAATTACATAGAAAGTCACACTCATTATACTGTCTATTTTCTATTAGCCAGTTGAGAAATACACAAGTTTTCACTCTAAATTGACTTCCTTTTCCCACATCATGAGTGTAGGTGGTTATCATCTGATGAGCTACTCAGTTAACATTTTTGTTATATTTTATTTTGTTTTCTTACTGTGCTAGGGATGGAACTCAGGGACACTGTGCATCCTAGACAAGGGTTATCCCACTGAACTACATCCCCAAACCCCTTGATCAGTATTCTAAGAACAACTTCAGTAAAACATAGGAGGAAGATAAATCTGCTTTGGATGAGGGAAAGAGACAACTGTTAAATCTTAAGTCAAAGAAAAGGGATTTCTGAATGACTAAATATCATTTGTTCCTCTTCTTTATCACAAACAAGAATAATCAACTTATTCCACACATATGTCCTCTTACATAATCATGATGCTGTTTCTATGTATTTGAGACTACTGATGTCCTGAATAGTATATCACCTGGGGTACAGTCCTGGGCCTCATCCACAAAGATAGCATCAAAAGAGGCAAGCAAAGGCTTGCTCAGCTGCCAGAGTTTCAAATAGCCTGCAAGAAGGAAGTAGCAAGAGTCATAACTCACAAGGAAAGCAGTTATAGTTTACAGACACCCATGTCTAGAAACTTGCCTACCATCATGAGTCATTTGGTAAGCCTCTTCTTTGCATTCCCCCAGCTTCCTCATGTTGTCCCAGAGCCGGCTTGCTTCAAGGACACTATTCTAGAAAGCAAGGAAACAGTAACCCACAGTTTAATACCCTGGAAAAGACAGCACTCTGAAATCACACTTTCAATTTCAAATACAGCAGTGGGAGCAAAGCCATCATCACAGAACTGATGAGCCTCCCTTGGCTCCACAGTACTTTTTTTAACATTATGGAGGTTTTCAAATGCTGAGAGAAGTGAGTGGCTGGGGCCACACCAGGCATTGTAGAGCAAAGATCACAACAACTGACGAACCAGAAAAGGCCCAATTATTTTTCTAGATTAATGACTGACAATTCATAAAGAGAATGAGAAATGACTGAAAAGACTTAATAAAAGTAGAAACAGACTTTTCCACTAGCAAAATCTATACAGGACTAATAACCAAAAAAATAAGAAGAGATTCCCCATCGTTAGGTAAGATTAGAATTTGGGTCCAGATTGCAATAACAGCAAGCTCTTATAAATTGTGGGCAAGTCATTCTGTTAAAACAAGAATATGACCATGAGGATTAACTGAGATGTCTCTGCTTCACAGAAGTACATGTCATAAAATTCACAGATGTCATGACAGGCCTTTAATCTCACCTGTCCATCTTCAACCTCCTATGAACAGTTCTGAGGAAATGAAAACACAGAAATAACACCACATCTCTAAATACTGAAGACATTTGATACTCACCAGCTTCTCACTCTGTTCAACCATGACTCTCTGTCCTTGGCTGTTCTTACACCAAATAGGCACATGATCGATAGTCAGCTCTTCATCAGCTGAGGCAAAGAAGTTTTCTAAAGTCTTACACACCAGCTTGGCCCTGATGAATCCAGCTTTCCCGTCAGCAAGGACAGAATTGACCATGAAAGGCGTTAACTTGAAGAGATTCAACTTCTTCTTCAGCTGGTACCTGTAGAGCATATCCCAAGTTAATAGTATTGGGCTTTTCTAGCACAGTGGTGTTTATTGTCTCCTCCAGTCTCTCCAGTGATACCATAAGGCAATTTCAGGTATCATTCACAGGTGAGTCAGAATGCTTAAAGAGCACAGGAGTCCTTTAAGGTCCTCATCTAATCTGAGATGTCTCACACTAGGCTTCAGGAACTCACTTGTCACAACTCAGAAGATGAATCAGCTCACAGCAGATGCCACTATTCCTAAACGTGATCCAGGCTCCACGTGGCCCTGCAATGGGATACCCAAAGTTCCTTAAGGCCCTCATGTCCAGGAAACTTCAGATGAATGCAGGTTTCCCCACCTATCCTTCTAAGGAAAGCCTAAAATGCACCAGGATTTGTGATACTCTAAACTTTAAGCAAGTCATTGTGACTTTCTGTGCTCAATACCAGAGAAATGAAAATGCCTCTCTCATTGTTATTTATAAAAAATGTATTTTTACTGGTCAAAGTACACATCACTAAAGCTATTTTTTTATTGCCTGCCTGTAAATGGAGACAACAACATTACATTGTCTTAGTATTGTTGGGCATGCTCATAAGTGATCGTAATAATCATCACATGACAATCAGTAAGAGACATGACAACAACGCCAGCACTGGCAATGCTTACCTCCGCCCGATGTGCCCATAAGCCATGGAATGAAAGGTTTTGCAGATGACATTGCTGGGGAAGACGAGCTCGGCCTGCTTTGCGATGCTCTTGTTGAATGTTACATACAGAAATCTGCTCTGAGACCACTTCTCAGCATACTTGACTAGGGTAGAGGTCTTCCCAGTGCCTGTGGAAGCCAAGAAGTAGATGTGCCTCTTTGCCCAAGGATCTCCAATCAGGTATTGTTCAGGCTCATCCCTCCTCTGGCCTCAGAGCAACACTGATTTCAATAATAAAAGTAGTACCATAAAAAATCTGGCCTTCAAGCCAGATTAAGGTGGGCTGGGATCTTGACTCTCTGTTCCAGTCAAGCAACAACACTTGATCTCACTGAGCTCCAGTCTGTTCCTCAGTAATAAGTGGGTGTATGGGGGCAAAAATAACCATCAAACTCACTAACAGGTAGCTACTGCTGGTCTAGCAGTCAATTATACCTCTACAGCAAGAGTATACGAATGAGACTCAGGGATTCTTCTGATCCATTCTGTCTCTTGTCTGTCCTGTCTCTTGACCAATCCTTCAGTTATTCAAACTGTCATTCATTTAACAAGTATTTTTAAGCATCTGCTACATGTTCCGCTGTATGCTAAGCACTGTGAGAAATTAAAAAACATACACTATAATCTTGTTGGGATGAAACACCAACACAGGTGAAGCAGACAACATGACAACATAATGATAACTTAGTGAAAAAGAAAATAGATTGGAAACAAACAGAATCTCACCTATAAAGAGAGGAAAAACAGTTCTCTTTCCCTTCTTAACAGGGCTGTTTTGAAGATTAGTGAACACTGTAGAAGTATTTATGAAGTGAGCGTGTTAGCTATTTTTATTATGTAGTAATCAAGTACCAAATAATTAACAGATGATTAGTTATAAACAACTGCTCAGCAGTCAAGATATTTTGGACTCAAATGACTGAAGATGCCTTCATTAGGAGAAATAGAAATGGTGAGCATCAGAACAGCATGGCAAAGAAAGAAAAAGAGGAGAAAGGAGAGTAAGAAAGGTAGAAACAAAAGAGAAAGTAAGAAAAGAAAAAGAAAAGGAGGAAGGCCAAGAAAATGCAGGGAAGGACAAGGAAGAGCAAGAAAGGGAAGGGAAGGGGAGGAGAGGGAAAAGAAATGTCACTGAAGAGACAGATCCAGCTTTGAAGGGAAAGGGAGGGGAGGGCAGGAAAAGGGAGGGGAAGGACAAGGTAGATCTCTGAACAGACATAGATCCAGCTTTGAATTCTGGCTCTATCACTTATTTGCTTATTTGACCTGGAACAAGCCTCTCTGAGCTTCAGTTTCTTTATCTATAATAAGAATAACTAAGCAACCAACCTCAGCCATTTAATATTGATAAGCAGGATATTTAGGCACAAAAGCAGCAGGAAGGGATTCCAGGTAGAAAAAACAGCATGAACAAAGATTCAGACAAAAGACCAAAAAAGTACTTCAGGAGACTATAAGGAGACCAGCTTAGCTGATTGAGAACAGTGACAACATATTTAGGAAAGTAATTAGAACCAAATGGAGGGCGGACCCTCAAGACATTATTCTACAAAGTTAGGGAGTTATTGAAACCCTCTAAGCTGATTAATATGACCAGTCCTTCCAGAAGCAATCAGTGACTGAGCATATATAATGATAGGGGATGGGTTCCACAATCCCATTGATATAGCCACAAACAATTCCTATGAACTACCTGTCTTGCCTAAACAGGAATTTCTGTGTAGATGTTAGGACTCAATCATTTCCATTAATGTGCCCTACAAACTAATACCTATGAAGTATCTGTCTAAATAGGAATTCTAGTGTGGATGTTCCATGAAATAGTAAGAGAAAGCAAGTACTTCTTGGCCAACTGTTTTTGGGAATATTTGAGTGAAATGGTTCGATAAGAAATCAATGTAAAGATGCTCCAGCAGGTAGTGGGAAAGGGACAGAGTGATAATGCAGAAAACAACCACATCATGTATCTGATGCTCTACTCTAGGAACCTGAAGTGGGCTCCCTTACCTGCAAATGCCATAATTTTTACCACCTGGAGAGGTTCCATCTTATGATTCAGAATCAGCTGTTGTTCATGTGTAAGCTGGATGGATGTTTTCTTGCTATAATCATTACAGAAGAAAAATTACAAAAATAGAAAGGAATTAAAAAGTCCAGGGGATAGATTGTCCAAAAACCAAATGAGCAAATTAAATAAAAGAAGTTGAACCAAAAAGTCCTCCCTTATGTGGATAAAAATGCTCTAAAACTAGATTATGATGCTGCTAGCATCACTGAATTACACTCTTAAAACGGTTGAAATTTACATAATGTAAACTATGCCTCAATAAAGTTGTTAAAGCAAAACACCTCCCTCCCCTCCTTACGTAGAGAGTCAAGAATGGAAAAAAAACACACATGTGTATTTGTAGTTATATACATACCCTGGCCAGACAGATGGCTCCTCTTTAACTTTGGTGGCCTGAGTATAGGAATTCTCCTGAAGATATAGGCAATAAAAATGTTGTAGTGAATCCTAATAAGGGAAAAGAGTAAATTTAAGAGACTTTCAAATTAGGCCACAATCTGTATATAATTTTTCCTCAGATATATTTAAACTCCTTACCATATCTAAAAAGAAGACAGAAAACAAAAATATCTCTCTATAGCTGACAAAAGGGAACACAGTTCTGAGAAAGGTGCATTATTTCTAGCGTGACATTAAAAGGAGAACAAACCCAGGACATACCGTTTAGGGAACATGAGCACTAGCTGTGACCTTAAGAGACAGATAATCAAGCTGGGAGTGGTAGATCCAGCCTGTATTCCCAGCTACTCAGGAGGTAGAGATAGAAGGATCTTGATTCAAGGCCAGCCCAGGCAACCTGAACAAAAGACCCTATCTGAAAAACAAACTAAAAGCAAAAAGGAATGGAGATGTGGCTCAAGTGGTACAGCACTTGCCTAGTAAGCATGAAGTCCTGAGCTCAATCCCCAGTACCACAAACAGAGCAAGAGCAAAAGAGAAAGAGAAAAGGAAATAAAAGATAGCAAAAAGCAATGGAAAACAAGTGTGACACTGCTCCTAACATGAGATTCCTGGAGTAATGCTGCTTGTTGATAAATTTAAAGCCAACATCTTTCTGCATATTAACTGCTCTGCTACCTAGTCTTGTGATATGATATTGGTTTCGAAGTATGAATAACATTCTCTTCAAGGTTCCAAAGGAAAGGTACAAAATGGCTAGTAAGATATGATTACCAAAGGACAAGAAATCAAAACAGCCTCCAAGTCACCAAGAGGAGCCAATGATGAAAAAGTTAAATCAACAGATGAATAGACCAACATCGAATCTAGTCTCCACCACCCCAAAACCTCTGTATGAGCACACTAGGCCCAAACTCAGCCCCTGGATCAACAAGCCCCCACAACCAAGGCACTGCTCTATCCCTAGAGTGAGAGCAGCTTATTTTCAGGCATCACTCTTTGATGAAATAAATACCTTTAAAAACACACATTTTGGTATCTGGTCATCCTATCTCCCAGGTACAGCAGAAAGAAACACATAAATGAAGAAAAATCAACATGTGATATTGCTATTGACTCTCTGAACATTGAGACCCTAACCCCAAATGTGACTGTCTGGAGTAAGGAAGAAATTAAGATTAAATGAGGTTATAAAGCAGGGTCCCTGAACCAACAGGACACAGAGAGAAAGTGACCATCTGCAAGCCAGGAAGTTGCTTCCTCACCAGAAACCAAATCTGACACCACCTTGTTCTTAGACTTCCTAGACGTGTTCCTCGACAGCTAACCTCCAGAACTGTGAGAAAATACATGACTGTGGCATAAGCCACCTAATCTGTGGTGCTTCATTACAGAAGCTGAGAAGACTAAGCTATGCCTTCCATTCCTCCTCTACCATTCACATGAACATGCAGATAATCTGTATGTATGTATTTGTGTGTAGGGACATCACTGGTTATTTGTACATCTGCCTTGTCTGAATCATATAAGAAAGCTTATGCCTCTTGCCTTAATGCCATGGAGTGGAATACAACACAAGCCACAGTTAGCAAACTAAAATAATGTAACAGTAACTCAAAAATACAGCAAATGCTCAACCATCCATGGAGAGTAACATTCCTTCCTTGCACCTCATGGGGGTGACTAGACCACTGCTCACCTGGTGCCCAGTCACACTCCTCTTATCCCTTCTCTTAAAATAGTCTCCCTGTGGTAGAGTGCCTGCTCTGCAAGCACAAAGTCCCAAGTTCAAACCCCAGTCCCACCAAAAAAAAAGAGCTAGCATAACTGCTGGTCGCCAGTGGCACAAGCCTATAATCCTAGCTATTTGGGAGGCTGAGGCTGGAGATTGGGAGGACTGTGATTCAAGACCAGCCTTGGCAAATAGTTCCTAAGACCCTAGCTCCAAAAAAACCACAGCAAAATGGACTTGGGTGTGGTTCAAGCAGTAGAGCAAGCAGGAAGCCATGGTTTCAAATCCTTGTGCCACAGGGGAAAAAAAAAGCATTCCCTACCTCCCTCTCACATAACTGTTCTATTTCCTCTGTAACACTTACCATTTACTAGAATGCTCTTATTTCACCCATTTACTTATGTATTATCTGTTTCTCTGACTAGACCAAGAAACTTGTCTATTTTCTCACAGTGGAATTCCTGCTGCTCAGTATCTGCTGAGTGCACATATCCCTGTGAAAACCTCCCTTAAGTGAGGGAGACCATCAAGATCACTTGGAATTAGCAAGTGATGCTAAGATGATAAGGTAGGTAAGACTTTCCAGAATCCTCATAGTCCACTACAAAAGTAAGAAACAGAGAAAGCAGATCCTAAAGGTTTCCTAGTAAAATACAGCCAGGTGTGAATAAAGACAGCTTGTCTAAAGTGAGAGACTTCATCTAAGGCTTCAATACCCATGAAAGTAAGAACTGCTCAGTGAGATCTTATGGTTGAATGGCACTGTGTGTTTGCACAGTACTCTTACTGCACTTCCCCACCCCAGTCCCTCCATTCTACAGAGGGAGAAACTGAGGCTGACGATAGCTTCCAGCTTGCCTGATGTCAATGCTGGTAAGTGGCAGGGTGGGTATGCCAAGTCTAGGCCCTTCTTACTTTGTCACAGGGTCTCCTCCCTTCCTCCCAGGACGATACCTATTGCTGATGTTAATCCCCTTCTCCCTCATGGCATAGAGGAGCACAGCTATGCAGTATAAGGTCTCAGTGATATCTGGCATAGTCACTGTGGAGCCAGGTCTCCTGAGGCAGAAGAGCAGCTGCTGAATGTCATTCACACCACTGGAGAGGAGCACCACAGCTGCCACCAAGGTCCAGATGTTAACACCCTGTGAAGCGAAGTACATAGGATGGGAGGAGAGCACAGAAATTGGTCTCAATCAGGAACAATCATGTCAGAAAACTGGTGAGGAAAGTCAAGTCTGGGGCTCAGTTGCCAGTGACGGGTTATCTGAACTGAGCCTAAAGTGCTCAACTGATATTTGGGAAATAGCAGAACCATTCCTCCTGCCCTGGATTTCTTCTTCTCATCACTTTTGGATTTGAGATCTTAGTTTTCTTTAATTAAATAACATTTACAAAGTACCTAAAGTGGAACACTGCATAAAGATGACACTCCAAACATATGAGCTCCCTTTCATCTTGCCATCCCTACTTTCCAGGTCAGTGTGAGCCCTCAGATTCCTAAGTCCTTAGTGGAGTCAAAACAAATTAACTAGCTAACAAGAGCCTATCTGGGAAGACAGAGATAAAACACGGCATTGGTGGTGCACACCTGTAATCCCAAACTCAGGAAGCTGAGGCAGGAGGATGGTGAGTTTGAGGCCAGCCTGGGCCACATAGCCAAGTACCTACATATTGAGACCTGTCTCGAAACACCAAAAAGTAAACCAATAAATAAAATGGAAAATACAAAAGAAAACTGCAGTCTTTAGGGACTTCATGACTAACAACTCCCTAATGCTACAATATTAATTTACTTTTACTTGTCATTATTTAATAATTATTAAATATTAACTTAAATAGTAAATAAATTATTTTAAGTGTATTTTATGAGGATAGTAATGCCCTATTTAGTAATGTCTAAGTAAATGTTCACTAACACAGTAGTAGTCCATATTGGACACACATCCTTATCATTTGCACATAACTATATCACTCCTTGTTAAAGAACATATTCTGTAAGGCACAGAGGCTCAGGCTTATAATCCTAGCTACTTGAAAGCAGAGATGGGGAGGACCACAATTTTTTTTAGTAATACTTGGTTTGAACTCAGGGTCTCATGCTTGCTAGGCAGGCGCTCTAGCACTTGAGCCATTCCATGGGCCTGGAAGATCACAATTTGAGGCCAGTCCAGGTAAAACGTTCACAAGACCCCATCTCAACTAACAGCTGGGCACAGTAGCACACCCGTCATCCCAGTTAGGCAGGGAAGTACAAATAGGAGGATCGAAGTCCAGGCCAGACTGGGCATAAAGCAGGACCTATCTCAAAAATGACCAATGCAAAAGGCCTGCCGGAGTGTCTCAAGGGGTAGAGTGCCCAGAGAGGCCTGAGTTTAACCACCATTACCAAAAAAAAAAAAGTACATTCTGAGAAAAAAAGTTCGTAGGACCCCTTTGCTACATTCATACTGTGAAAGAAAAACAACACACTCCACCACCATTAGCAATCATTTCACTCAAGACAGAAAAATACATGCAATGTGATGCTCTCAAGCCTCTGTGGCTAGCAGAACATAGGCAGAGGCTGCTTACAGCTCTTAAGATAAAACATGAGACCCCCTGATTGGGATGTGGGGAGAGAAACAGGACCAAGAGTCAGGAAACTGAGGGCTATTTCCAGCTTCTCCTTACTACTGTGTGTCTGTGACAGATCTTTCTCGATCCTTTTCTTGTAACCAAAGCTGTCTACGATGGAATGGCTGTCTTATAAAGAATGCTATTACTGAAAGTGTTCAGAGGCTAGATGGCCACCTTTCAGGAATATTTCAGAGGATTCCACAGTAAAATGGAAAAATGCACTAAATGTTTTTTAAAAATTCCTTCCAAATTCAAGAATCTATAATTATAGGGCCTCTTATTTCTCCAAGAGGACCAATGAAAAAAATTAATGTCTCAAAGCATTCCAATTAAAGATTTTGAACACAGATGTAATTTTAGCTGAACTTCATCACCAATACAGTTTCTTCCACTGAAAAAAAAATGCTGCCATCCCTGCCTAGATCCCCACCCAAGGAATTTTCACATACCCCAGCAGCCATGTAGAGGTCAGGCAGGTGTTGACGCACGCAGCCGCCTCTGCCTCAGGAAGGAGGGATGATCTCTCAGACTCCAAAGCACCCTCTCAGAGTCTACCACTTGGGGAGCATTTAGTGCTGGCTACATATCTGTAAACATTCAGAAACAAGCCCACAAGAGAGGATTGTGAGCAATGGTGTATGAGAAAGACTTTGGAAACTGTCTCCCTTGGAGGACAGAAGCTCACCGTATGAGGTTCAGCACACATAAATCTGACTCCTTTTCTATGCCACAGTTCAAAGGATGCCATCCACTTTGCTGACTGCCTGCTCTTCATTCATCAGGTATCGATGATACAGCTTTTTCCAAGGAATGAACTGTGTAGTTAAAAATAGAAACAAAATAACATTCAGTTGATGGTTCTTAGTAAACAGATTAGGCCACAAGCACATACACAACCCTTTTGGGATTTTTTTGTTTTGTGGCACTGGAGCTTGAACTCAGGACCTCACACTTGCTAGGCACATAGACAACCTTCTACTGACCAAAAGCAATTACAGCTCACAGTTTAGAAGCTAAACAGATCAGATAAAAATATCACAGAAAATTCACTTGGAAACTAGGAAAACTGGGTCTTGGTCTTGGTGCTAATACTAATTTGCTACAGAATCTGGAAAACACTAATGCTTGAGTTTCCTTATCTGAAATATTAGGACACTAATAGCTCAGAGTTTCAATGAGGATAAAATAACTGGAGCAGTGACTACACTAATATCAGACAAAACAGATTAAAAAATTATTATATGAGATGAAAAAGGACAGTATATAATGAGAAAAGGGTCAATTCATTAAGAACATACAACAATGGTCTCTCTATATGTGTGTGTGTATGTATGTGTATATATATATATATACACATACGCATACATATATATATATACACACATACATACATACATATATATATACATACATATACCAAACATCAGAGCACCTAAATACATGAAGCAAACTGACAGAAGAGAAAAAAGATAGGTAGTGACACCCAATTTCAATGGAAGAAACAACCAGATAGAAGATAAGGACATAAAGTACTTGAACAACACTATAGACAAATTGAACCTAACAGATACATCCAGGACACTCTGCACAGAAAGAGCAAAATACATTTTCTTCTGAAATGCACAAGGAACATTCTTCAGTATAGATCTCATCTTAGGCCACAAAATAAGTCTTAATAAATTAAAATGACTGAAGTTATATGAAGTATCTTTCAATAAAAATACAATGAAAACTAGAAGTCAAAGAAGCAGGAAAACTGGAAAATACACAAAAACATAGATTTGTGGGGAGAAGGAGATTAGGGGGAAAACAGGGTCTCACCATGTGGTCAGCCTTGCAATTCTCCTCCCTTAGCCTCCCAATGCTAGGATTACAGGTTTGAACCACCACAGCCAGCTAAACCAACACACTCTTAAAACAACCAATGGGTCAAAGAAGAAATTAGAAAACACCACATGACAAATGAAAATGAAAAGACAGCATACCAAAACTTATGGTATGCACTGAAAGTATTAAAAGGGAAGTTTACAGCTGTAAATACTCATACTAAAAAGAGAAGAAAAATCTGAAATGAACAACTGACCAAGGATCTAGAAAAAGAAGAACAAACTAAGTTCAAAGTTAGCAGAAAAAAGGAAATTATAAAGATCAGAGAAGAGCCAGGTACCATGGTACACACCTGTAATCACAGAACTGAGGAGGCTAAGGCAGGAGGATTGAGAATTCCAGGCATCCCATGAGAGCAGAAATAACTAGAAAAGTAGAGGAAACACAACAACAACAACAACAACAACAAAAAACCTGAGCTTTTTGGGGAAAAAAAAAGTTTAAGTCCTTAGCTAAAAAAGAAGATTTGAGTAACTAAAATCATAAATGAAAGAAGGGACATTACAACTGATGCCACAGAAATAAAAGGATTGTAACAGAATACCATGAACAACATATAAACAATCTGAGTGAGTTACAAGAAAAGAATAAATTACTAAGAACACATAACCTATCAGGACTGAATCATAAAGAAATAGAAAGTGTAAAGAGATCAATAATGAACAAAGGTATTCAAATCAGCAATCAAAAGCCCAGAACCAGATGGCTTCACTGGGGAATCCTACGGAATATTTACAGAACCATCAACAGCAGCACTCCATATATTCTTCAAAAAAACTGAAAAGGAGGCAACACTGCCAGACTCACTCTATTACCATAATATAAAAGTCAGACACTAGAGGAAAAAATAATCTGAGAGCTATGACAGATTACTGAAAATAAATACACTGTATCATTGCTAGTGATGATAAAAAAAAAAACAGAACAGCATTATTCTAACTTTTCAAGAGGGAAGTATAAGCTGGGCCATTGTCCCAAGAATCTCCTCAGACAGAATAGAGAAAAATCCTCATTCATTCCCAGCTACAACTGTTCACTTCACACCAGAGAATTCTCAATTTAGTGGGCAGAAATATTATGACATAAACATGTGCACATATAAAAGCAAAAAGATATTTCTCAGAAAGTAGGAACGAGGACCCTAAACAAAGAATGGAGTTAGAGTGATACAAAGTTTTCTCCAAAATCTTTTGTACTTTAAAGAAAAATGTACTCTGTCCTCATATACCTATCTTGCACACCATTGCTAAATTTTTAAACTTCACTATAGTTGGAGAGAGACTTAATCTCTATATATCTGACTTATTTTGCCTAGGTAAACAAAATACTCTCCCAGCCCTCAAGTTTAGCTAAGAACCTTTACCTAAATGGGAAGAAGTATAAACGAACATACGTTGGTTCTTTCCAACAAAGGATAGAACCAGCAGCTAGAGCAACAACACAATTAAATGTAGCATCAAGAAGTCTTTTCCGGGGGGTGGAGGGAGAGAAGGAAAGAAAGAGGGAAAAAAACGAAGTCTTTTCTAAGAATGTGTTTGTTCCCATTGTTCCAACTCAAAAGGTACTGCAGGGTGACTCCAATGAAAGATGCATTTATTAATCATCTACTGTATGTAAAAATGGTGCAGAAAAATGGAGAATGCAAAAACAAATAGGACAAACAGCCTTCAACAAAAATGATCCAGCATTAGCTTCTATCAATGAGCTCATAATCTTAAGTGGGGAGAAGGCCTGTCTAAAACCGTAATACAGGTTGTGATAAATTATGCTAACAGAGGTAAAAAGTAGCACAAAGACAGCAAGTGATGAAGTTCAGCAAGATGGAATGGGAAGGAGCAGTTAGTGTAGCTGATAAGCCTTGAAGTACAGGTAAAATGGCAACAGAGATATGGGGGTTCTCTAAATGGGGTGAGGGAGTTAGAACAACCCCAGATGGACCACAAACAGGCAATCTATAATGAAGCATCAGCAAATTATGTATTCAGATAGAATACAGAGATATATTATGAAGTGAGCAAGGATACTAATTCATATGGTGGGAAAGCGTTGGAGGTCTTAAATGCCCTATGGAGTGTGGACATTATTCTGAGGCAAATTGGAAATGTCCATTTTGAACAGATCCTCTAATCATAAATTCTTGAGTTATGTGAAGCCACTGTGGGCTGATAGAGGGGTTGTCACTCACCCAAGCACTCTACTCACCAGGGGGTCATGATGATATCTCCCTCCAGAGGTGACACACCAAGCTCAGATTCCAATAGAGGTCTTCCACAGGGAGGAAGGCAGATGTGCCTCAGGACTTCACTAGGCAGGCTACAAATGTGGCTTGGTGCTTTTTGGCAGGGCCAAGGCCAAGAAGCCCAATAGTATGAATCAGGAATGGGCTCAGACCAATGTCTCAATGTCTTGCAGTTTCTCCAGAATCCACACAGCCCAGTGACAGACAGTCCTCTGCTTCTTGCCTAGTTTCCCTAGGCTTTGTGCAAGACAGGGCAAATGATGCCGTAGGGTTTTTAGTAAAATCCATCCCACTGGCTGGTATCTGTAGCTTTCCTCTCTCTCAAAGGACCGAGACCGCTTCCTGGGGGGCAGAGAAGACCGATGAGTCTAATCTTACTTCTCCATCACCTTCCTGAGGCAGGGCGCAACTGCTCTCTGCAGGATGATCTGTCACCCTCGGAGTCCTGACAACTGTCTTGGCAGACAAACTGCTCTTGGCCATGTCATTGGTACACTGCTGCTGGCCAGCTAGGAAGAACTCAGGGATGTATTTTTGACATCCTTGACCTGTAGAGAACCCAAAACAGAATGGACAAAACACAATCACTGACTGTTGACCCACTTTAATTATCTATGTTAAAAGAGGAAAGAGTCAGATACGTTTATGAGTCAGGTGTATGCAAACAGCTAATCAAAAGTAACCAGACATATTTTTAGAAAGAGATAAAGACTGGTCATGGCCTACATTACATCCTACAAATGTATAAGAACAAGGTTAAATGCTGCATGTTGGACACCCGAATGGACAGAAAGGACATGACTGCTCACAAGCACATTCACACATCCACTCACACTACACGCCTCTCCTTGTTTGCTCCTACAACTGGAAGTCTAAGCTTGCTTAAGTAGAAAGAACATGCTTTAAGCTATCAGGTTCAAAAATCCCACTCCTCGTTTGACAAGAATTAAGGTCCTTTTAATTTATTCTTACTTCCCCCTGTGGTGATGACACATTAAAGAGGGAGTCAAAATTATTTTCCTATTATTAGAGTGGTACTTAATCTTTTTAACACATTTATTCAATCAGCATTTACTAAGTACCTTTAATTTTGAAATAAATAAAGTGATATTCCCTGACCCCACAGACCTTTCAGGCATCTAGGGAAACCCAAACAGTGATTTCACACATCATCACGGCATTTTCTAAATTCTAAAAGTTATTTTTAAATGCCAATAAAGTGAACACCTTATCAATATATAATATACGTGGTTTCTTTCTAAATGACTATTAACAAAATTTCTTACTTTGGAAAATAAAAGAATGGACTAAAACTTGGTTTAGCCTTTAAATGAATTTATGGATTGAAATTAATATTTCTTTCAATTCTTTTTTTGTGTGTGGGGGGGTGGTAGGTATTGGGGTTTGAACTTAGGGCCTCATGTTTGCTAGGCAGGTACTCTACCACTTAAGCCTCTCCACCAGCCCAAAATTTCTTTCATATTAGGGAAAAAAACAATTATAACTGCTTCTAGGGCAATGTGACTCAAACCCATAGTTTTAAAGCCAATAAAGCCTGGTTAAATCCTGACATTTCCTAATTGTTAAAGGTAGTCACATCAATAGTCAAGATCCTACTTCGTGCTCAGTGCCATGCTCAGAGTCCTGGAGAACTCACCACACAGACCAGAAGTTGACATATACACAAAACAAACTAAGTATCAGATAGTATGTAATTAAGTTGAAAACTATATAATTGATTACAGTAGTACCAAAAGTGAGAAACAATGTTTAACAAAAACTAGGTTAGTATTTAAATTTGATTCTGAAATAAAATGTATCAAAGAGAAAAAAGGCAATCTAGATTATACTAGCAGGTATTAGAAAAAGTAAAATTCAACTGGTATGGAGAAGGGTAATAAGAAAATATAATTGCCAGAAGTGAACTTTCATGCATTAGTAATTGATATCAAAATGCTTGAGGACATGGAATGTTAGCCACCCTGATTTGATCACTGCAGACTGTACACTGCAATAAATTATCATACTATACCCCATAAATAAGTATAAATATTATGTTAATTGAAAAAAATAAAATTAAAAAGCTATTTGGTGATGACAAGGATAAGCCTGAGTCCACAACAATACCATGAAAACATTTTATAGTAGGTTCTTAAGAATAGCTGTAAAACACTTTGTCTTCCTTATGATTGTGTCTTTTCTTCAACAAAATTAATGATAAGCGCAGAACAGGACCTGCCTGGAACTGAGGGGGGAAGCGGGGGAGAGGGGAGGAGGGGGGCAGAGTGGAGAAATGACCCAAACAATGTATGCACATGTGAATAAATGAATTTAAAAAAAGGCACATATTCTTTTTGAAAATTAAAAAAAAAAAAGAAGAGCTGTGACATGATAGAAAATAGTCATGTTCAGACTCATAACATATATCCCAGCTGATGTGGGAAAATTAAAATCTGGTCAAGGAGAAGGCTACTTACAGTGTTCCAGACACTGGGTGACAAGGGCACAGTCTACCATGCAAGCATTGAATTAGGGAACATTTCAAAGGAAAAATAATGATACAGTGAACCTTGTGACAGACTGGATAAAGATTAATAAGGAATGGCATAATCACAACGTTTCTGGATTGAAATAACAGTAATACTGATCAATGTTTTTTATCACTTTATATTACACATGATAGCAAATTTCCTGGGGCTTATCCCAACCATTCTAATAGGATAGAATTCTCATGGAAAATACAGAATTACTGACAAAAAGTGTTAAACTATTGCAACAAGACTGTAAGATCACAACAGTGGTATAAACAAATACTAGGAGATATTCAAAGGCCACACAGACTGTAGATTTTGAAATGCAAGGTACCTTTTTAAAGACCTACCCCTATTCCCTCTTTTTGTTCTGGGTCTAGGATAGAGACCATGGTTCGGATCTCTGTTTGTCCATCTTTGACCGAAGGGCTGGGTCACAGCCAAGTGACTCCGAGCCAAATATTGGCAGTCGATAGTTGTAAGATGTTTCCGCTTAAATCGTCTCACTGTTTTGTACCAACAAGCAGAAGAAATAGGATACTCATTAGTTATTACAAATTCTACAAGCTAGTCAGCAAATTATACTCAATTTTTAGGACTATAATGACAACTGATTTTACACATCATTCCAGCCAGCCCTTTCACTCTTCCCTGTGCCCACCAACACTTAGTCAATTTGGCAATGCATTAACATTTCTTCCTTAGAATTTAAGAAAGAGTTGGGTGCCAGTAGCTACTCCTGAATCCTCACTACTCAGGAAGCAGAGATCAGGAGAACAGAGGTTCAAAGCTACTCCAGGCAAATAGTTTGCAAGACCCTATCTCAAAAATGCCCAACACAAAAAAAAGGGCTGGTGGAGTGCTCAAGTGGTACAGCATCTGCCTAGCAAGTGTAAGGCCCTGAGTTCAAACCCCAGTATCACCCAAAAAAAAAAAAATTAAGAAAGAATCCCAAAATGGCATTTTAAGATCCTGAAATGACTTCTCTTTTTTTTCCACATTTTTTTTTATTGTTGTGCTGGGCTTCTTTTAAACTTATACTTTCTAGAGCCTTAATCATGAAATACTTATTCAAAAAGAAGTTTCTGCAAATGGATAATTATGATCTGGCATCTTTTCTTGGCATTTGTCTAAGGCACATATGTTCCTACAATAACCACAAATACTTAAAGAGTTGTTTGTGGCTTTTTAAAAAAAAGAACAAAAATGGTTATAACTTACTTTTTGTCAAACAACTGACGTTTTCTTTTTTCATTGTGATAACAAAAACATGTAATGTATAAGAGCTGGCTATAGCTTTTTAAACATAAACTTACCAATCACCATTTATCTACATTAGATTTTCCAAGACACAAGCAAAATACAGCCTTAATAAAACAAGCTATAAATTTTTTAAGAGAAGGAATTTACTGCACACATACCTCTTAGCCCCAAGAACACTTCAGTACTGAGAACCAACTTAAAAGGTTAAGAGCAAGACCCCAAATGAAAGAGGATCAAATGGGATATATGCTGTCTTCTCTTAGCAACACTATAGCAGCAACTGTGCCCAGAGTGCTGTGTCAAGAGTTCTAAGATACATGGCTGCTAGTATAGCTCAGTGGCAGAGCACTTGCCTAGCATGTGTGAGACCCTGAATTTGATCCCTCACATCATGAAGAACAAAAAGAGTACTGAAATATTTGTATTCTTTTTTACCACTATGTATTTCATTTTTAACATTTTAACTGGTAATAAAGTATTTAGTTTTATAGTACTCATTTTCTTTCAGGTAATCCTTTTTCATATTTAGCCAGGATTCTTCATGCTCTGTATCTGTTATTGCATATAAGATCTAACAACGTCCTTATGGCATTAAAAATTGAAATATAAAACCAGGCATGGTGGTGCATACCTGTAATCCCAGCATTCGGAAGACTGAGGCAGAAAGATCACGAGTTTGAGGCCAACCTGGGCTACATTGTAAGCTTGGGGCCAGCTTGGGGATACTGTACCTCTGTGTCTGTCTATCTGCCTCTCTCTCTATATGTGTGTGTGTGTGTATATACAATTACATAATTACAGTATAAGAATACCTATATTTTTAAAAAACAGAACAAATTCATAGAATTAAGATTCTCCTTTTCAGGAGTTGGTCAAGAGAGAAATCAGTACCTGCCAATATCATATTTTCATAGGTTCTTAAAAAGACTTAAAAGTAAATTATAGTATCAAATGCCAGAATCTCACTCACCATTTCCTTTAAGCTTGAAAATAAATAAAACCACAACACTAATGAGAATAACTGGTACAGTTTATATTTTCTATCATTATTCCTTCCCAGTCCCCAGCCTATCCAGAAATCATCCTTCCAAGTTTTAGTCAAGTCTCTCAAAGTTTAAAGTAAGTTTTGAAAAACTCTGAATATTTAAGACTTCCTAAAAACTACACACAAAAATAGCTCTGCAAGTCCCATAAAAGGATGCTGGAGCCCTTATGGCCATCTGAACTTAGAAGATACAGCACTAGTACTGTGAAGGCACAGAAGAGAAGTTACAGCCCGCTCCCTCTGGTGAGAGCAACATTACAGAGTAGACAGTGGCCCTGATGGGAGAACTGGGTTTGAGACCCA